TATATATATATATATATACATACATACATATATATATATATATATATATATATATATATATATATATATATATATATACATACATACATATATATACATATATATATATATATATATATATATATATATATATATATATATATATACATACATACATACATACATATATATATATATATATATATATATATATATATATATACATATATATATATATATATATATATATATATATATATATACATATATATATATATATATATATATATATATATATATATATATACATATATACATATATATATATATATATATATATATATATATATATATATATATATATATATGTATATATACACACACATATATACACACATGCATATGAATATATATGCATATGTATATATGAATGTCGATTTAGCCATGGCCCCAGTCCCCAGTAGGCCTTCAGTGGTCAGGTAATCTTATTGTTTTATGTGGAATTATTTTTTTGTTGTCGGGTGATGTTGAGTTTAAGCCTGGCCCTAACTGTTCAAAGTATTGCAACTTTCTTTTTTGTAATATACGTGGACTTTACGGGAATTTGAATGAACTTGCAGTTATCTCAACAAAATTGTTTGTTGTGTTGAAACTCTGATTTCAGAGGGATTTTTAGCCTCGAGCCCAAGGTTTGTGTTTTTATCCATTGGTTGGTATTAATCGTTTTACGAAGTATGAATACAGTTGTCATGAATATATGTGAAAGTGTGTAGTCGTTTTAATAGTTTCTAATTTTTTGTCTTTATAGAATCATTTATGGTTGTTTACTGACTTTTTCCATTCAAGAGAATGAGAGGAAATCGTGTTTTATTTCTATAGGTGATTTTAATGCTCACCACCGAGACTGGCTGAATTCTGTGTCCCCAACTGACCGGAATGGCATTTCTGCCTTAGATTTCTCAGATGTTGTTGGATGTGAACACTTAGTCTGAGTGGTAATCTTTTAGATTCTTTATTAGCTGATGCGAGAGGGGTAATTAATGTCCATCGCACCAGTTGGTTCTTCTAACCACCGTAGTCTAACTTGTGAATTACAGCTGGACTTTCCAATACCATATTTTACTCTAACTAGACAAGTCTTCTTAAAGTCTAGAATTAATTGGGATGGTGTCGACCATGATTTTGATAGCATTGTTTAGCGAGACGTTTAGAATGCTCCTTGTCCTGTCAATGTTCTGAAATTTTTATTTTTGGATATCGAAACGAGGTTTGTACCCAGGGACTCTTAAATCTCGTTTACAGGATAAAGCACGATTTAACGAACGGTTTGAAAGATGTCATCAGGCTGACAAGGACAAACATACTGCTTACAATCTCTGGTCTGCTAATCACACTCATCCTTGTTAGGAGAATTATGTTGCCATGCGAAATACAGCAACTAAGGAGGCTAAAACTGAATGTAATGCTCATTTGAAAGAATTTCTCTCAGAAGCACCAAAACTTCATTAATGGTGGTCAACGGTTAAATAACTTCTGTTTGGTGTCCTCCATTCCTCCTTTAATGATAGTGTTACTTATAGTCCAATTGGGAAAGCTACCTTGCCAAAGATATTGAACTGCCTCTTTCATGTCACCCATTACCATGCTTCAATTCATCCGCCTTCAGGTCCTCTGAAATCGATTATCTGTCATCAGAATTAGACGAAAATGGTGGAGTAGACCCTAATCACTTGTTTCCTTTGATTTTAAAAGACTAAATGATCAATTAGCCACTAAATTATCTGTAATCTTACGCCCTTTAGTTCGTTAAGGGTCATTTTCAGAGTACTGACGTCCACGCCCGCAGGCTGGTGAAATCCTCCTTAATAAATATGCTGCCTAATTTCAACCTGAACAGCGGATTTTCTCCTGCCGACAGTCTCCTCGCTTCCCACATCGTCCGTCTTCTCCCGTACGCTGGCCATCCTGCACACAATCCGCCCGACCCTCCGACCTGATCTGACCTCCCTTCTCTTCCGTTCGTCTACTCTCACCTGCCCCGTGTTACCGCGTTGCCTATCCTCTCTCTCTTTTATACCTCCTCCTCTCCCACTCCTCTTCAGACCTGAGGATGGAAACCAGATGAATTCCGAAACTGTTGTCTCATTTTCAATAAGTCTAGTTTTACATTGTGGGTAATATATAAATATAATTGAATATATATACATACTATATATATATATATATATATATATATATATATATATATATATATATATATATATATATGTGTGTGTGTGTGTGTGTGTGTTTACAGATTTATATACATATGTGTATATATACATATAGACATACGTATATGTATATATATATTTCCCTATAACTATAAACATAGAAAATACACAAAACGCAGAGATACTTCACAAACCGCTGCCGATACGTGAAGTGTTGGAACCAATTAAGTTCACAAGATTGAGATGTTTGCCCAAGTAGGCCATGATTTTGAGCTCCATGGTGAGGGCGCGGACGTGCGAGGCATCTTGTTGGCTCTTGCACATCTTCACAGCGACTACCAAGGAGGACGAAGTCGTACCCATCCCGGCCTCGTCTTTGTCCTTATGATTTTCGGCCGCAGCGCCCGTCACCACAGCCTTAACCACACGGCCAAAAGCACCCGACCCCAGTTGTCTTCCTGGTGAAAAACAATCGTATGTTATATATATTAACTTATTTAGTCACACGCACATATCCATATGCACGCAAATATAGAATATATAGAAAAGACAAGGGAGTGAAGGCGAGGATTTCCTTCTCACCCAAATGGATGTCCCTCCTCGAAACTTCCCACTTGCGGTCGTAGGGAAGCAGCTCCGCCTGCTCGTCGGCCGTGCAGTCAGAGTTCAGTTCGTTCAACTTTCCTTTCCTGAACAAGAAAGCCACGTTGTCCCTGAGCTCCTTCTTGGTGCGCCAGTCCCTCCAGACGCGGCGCCCAAGAACGATTGCCACGATGATTAACAACAACAGAGGAAGTGAAAGGAGGAGAATTGGTTGCCAGTTGGACCCTGGAAGATTAGAGACCTAATGATGAAGCAGTAAGTGCGAAAAGGCCTTCGGCATATTCGTGTGGTTTCTTGTACTCCCCTTCCTTGTTCTACACACACACACACATACATATATATATATATATATATATATATATATATATATATATATATATATATATATATATATATATATACATATATGTATATATATATATATATATATATATATATATATATATATATATATATATAGATATATAGATAGATGTATATACACACACGCACACACATATTGAGACCGGCTACAGATATTGTGTTTTACAGTATATACAATGAAAAGGATCATCTCTGTTTACTGTTTTGGATAGATTATTCTCTGCAGTATTTTGTTATATATATATATATATATATATATATATATATATATATAGAGAGAGAGAGAGAGAGAGAGAGAGAGAGAGAGAGAGAGAGAGAGAGAGAGATGGATAGATATATGTATATATGTATATATATTTATACATATATGAATATTCATATATACATATATATATATTTACATATATTTATATACATACATACATACATACATATATATATACACACACACATTTATTTACATACATACCTACATATATGTGTGTGTGAGAGAGAGAGAGAGCGTGTGTGTGTACACACACACACACACACACACACACACACACACACACACACACACACACACACACACACACACACACACACACACACATATACACACACACACACACACACACACACACATATATATATATATACATATATCCATATATATGTACACACACACACACACACACAAACACACACTTATATATGTAAATATATATATATATATATATATATATATATATATATATATATACATATATATGTATATATATATATATGTTTGTGTGTGTATACATATACGTGTATACATATATATGTGTGTGTGTGTGTGCGAAGACACACACATACCTGTACAGAGTGTATTTGTCTACCTGGAGGGTGAACTCGTCAACAGCTACATACCCACAACTACAAGCATTAGTTTGCGGACCACTGTGTTTCCGCTCTTCCCGTGCAGAACACATTCAAAATTTCCCTCCAAGGCGCGACTCACTCCTTGACTTTCAAACACCGCCTTGAGAGAGTGTGGTGTTGAGGCGTCCCTGGATCTCGGTGGTTCTGGGTGTGAATATACCATTATTATTGCTGCTTTTTATTTATCATTAAGAAAAGTAGCTTCAACTTTAGTATTTATGCTATTGTTACCATTATCATCATTATTTTTCATTTCATTATTTTACTTTTTGTATTTTTATCATTATAAGCATCACAGCTATAAAATGACTAACAATCTGGCTTCCATTGTTAGTACTGTTGCCAGTGTTAGTTAACATTATTATCCTTATTATCCTTGCATATGTTGCTATCACACACACACACACACACACACACACACACACACACACACACACACACACACACACACACACACACACACACACACACATATATATATAAAGGCCAATAACCTATTCAGAAAAAAAAACAGCGTTCACACCGTTGGACCGCAATTTTTTCACACTCCTCGAAACTATCTTATGACTAATAGTTTCTGAGAAAATGGAAAATTGGCCAGTTTCTTTATGGAACTGTCAATTAACTTATTTGATGCCACAGATTCCATACTTTGTGATACCTACGTTTGATGCAGTTGCTGGATTTTTTTTCTCTTAACATGTGGACGCAAATTGCATTAATAAGAAAATACCAGTAGAGAGTCTAATACTAATGATAATGAGGATAGTGGTGTTGTTGATAATGATCATGATGGTGATGGGAAAGACACTGAAGCCGATGGTGATGATAAGAAAGAGGAGAAGTTTTTGATTTTAATAACATATATCAACAATCAATTTATCAACAATAACAACAGTAATGAATAGAAACCTTCAAGCGAGTCCACTTCATTTTTTCCAGAAAACTGTAGGGTTATATTGTCGTAATCGAAATTGGAACCTGCGCAAGTGATGTTCAGATAATCATTTTCCGCCAGACGGACAGCTGCGTCAGTCACATTGGTTATTCTTGCGCCCGTGTTGTACTCAAACACGAAGGGTGCGGTGATGTCTGTTGAAAAATAGTTTTATTTGTTTTGGCAAATACAGCATTAGCAGTAATGAGAGATGTAATAACAATAACTACAAAAATAACAATAATATTAAAAATAATCGTTTTAATGTTAATAATAACAATAATAGTAAGCAATATTATTATCATATTATTATTATTATTATTGTTATTGATATAATAATAATAATAACGATAACAATGTCAACAATAACAATAACAACAATTAGAAACAAATAATCACATGAAGCTAATAGAATTATGATGGAATGCTTCTTTAGGAGTAATCTAAAAAACAAAAACAAAAAAACAACAACTGAATACAGAAAAGTATGCCCTGTGCAATAACAGGAATACTTAAGATAGCTGTTTGATGAGAAGGCCTAAATAATGAATAAGATATGGTAGACAGGGTTTGAAATAGTAATTAAACGGTCGATAGTAAATGCTGTATAGAATTTCAAAGAAGATAAACTAGTAAAACCGGATCCCAATATTCTGAACGATTAAATGAAATGAAGTAAAGTGTCATATATGAATTAATTAAATGCATATACTGGTCAAAATTATTTAAATGAAAGACAGAAAGGTATACTATAAAGACAGAAATTGAAATGACAGAGCGCAAAATACTGACAGCATCAATAAGGATGGGCAAAAAAACTTATACTATGACACATGAGTGTAAAAGTTATCACCAAACAAATGGCCTCATACATTCTGACACGAAAGTGGATAGGGAACCCGCACAGAGAGCTTGCTTCAACAAAAACAGAGTTGAATATATTTAAGAGTTTTGTCGACAGCTTTTCAAAAGATTTGGTTGTGTTGGCAGACATATTTTCCGTAACTAATACACACATTGCTTTGAGGAAGTTCAGCAGCCTTCCATTACCTCCACAGCTCGTTTTACCAAGATAAATGACAATTGGGAGAAACAGATGTAGAGCAGTGATGAACCCTGTATATGGTGGGCAGCACAATAGACTACTAACGTTAAGCTACTCAACAATAAACAAGGATACCTCCAAAGCAAAAAATAGCCGAAATCCTCAGTATAATAAACAAAATAAACCTGCGTACCGTTTGGAATCAAGTAGGAGGGCACACCAAGCTTCCTTGCCCAATGAACAGGTAAGAAATACCTACTTATGACAATTAATAATCCAACAGCGTTGCAGTTATTGCAAATGTCGCTAGTACACTGTACAACACCCCTTAGAGTGGCTGACTGATCAGAAACAGCAAGATCTGAGTGTAACTATCAGACAGAACAGTCAAATGAGTCCTCAATCCCTTTAGTATCCAAGGACATCTTAGCATTTCTCAGAAACATGTTTTGGTGCAATACCGCACTATCCTATCGCCTTTACCAAATATTTATATGATCAACCAGCTGCTGCCTCATCACTAAGACAAAATTCACTAATAAAACGACAATATCCGTGGGATTCACACAAATGTGGGAGAACTGATTTACCATTTGTTCTCAGAACTTAGATATTCTGCTGTGATTTCCAGCGACCAGGTTAATGCTGATCATTGACACATTTTCTCGCAGCTAATATAGATGATATAGATCTATTGATTCAACTGATGTGTGAAGGTGTGCTGGTGATTAGCAGCTTTAATCAGTGTGGTTTTTGTGCAACCTTGGCGGTGCATGATATTAGAAATCATGTAAATTTTGCAACACATAGCTCAGACTCATTCCTTGGCCCAGGGTTAACAGCTCTCTGATTACAAGGTGAGATTTACCTCATTAGGCTTTGTCGGTTCGCCAGATCACATCGCCATTCGCATGAAAATAGACCTCAAGAGACCACAGAAAGATAAAGTGCTGCAAGAGACTCTAGATGGAGAATCAAGTGGAGAATTGAACCTGCATACTGCTACAAAAACAAGACAAACTTATAGATATCAACAGAACTCAGCAATCAGATTGTATCCCACAAGGGAAATACTGAAACATTAAAACAATTTAGAGGAAAGGGTAGAGTGTGAGAGAGAGGAGGGATGGAGGGGGGAGGAGAGAGAGAGAGAGAGAGAGAGAGACACAGAGAGAGAGAGAGAGAGAGAGAGTATTGTTTCTCATAAATTGCAACGGAGATGAATTTGTAATTACTGGAGATCGACATCAGCCGTGATTCTACCCCTTCTTTGGAGTATACCTTACACTGTTGCCGAGTATAACTGATGGTTAGAAGTGTATGGGCTATTTCTCTACTGGGTTGTATATTAGATAGTTAGGGCTGCAAAGGCTCAGGGTCGCACATACACTCGATGCATATATTAAAGATAGGTCCTCTGGTCTCCCCACACTCTTGCCATGTCGATATCTAAATAC